GTTTGGATTGTGATAAGAGTTGTACGAGCCCCCAATAAAATGTTTTTAAAAATAACAATGTCCAGGTTCTACTCTAGAGATTCCAATTCACTGTCTTGAAGTTGGAGATGGGCAACTTAAGTCCTGAAAGTTCCTTCAGGTGATTTCAACTATTTTAAAGTATAACATCATACAGTGAAGCTGCAAAGAGACATAGTAGAAGGCCTGGCCCAGGGAGAGATGTCGTTTTAAGTGTGCTAAGGTCCTTTTAAGGAGCCTGATGGCATAGTGCTTACACGTTGGGCTGCTAAATGTTAAGATCAGAAATTCAGAACCACCAGTTGCTCCTGGGAGAAAGATGGGGCTTCCTACCCCCAGAAAGAGGGACAGTCTCTCAAACCCACAGAAGCAGTTCTTCCCTGTCCTGTAGGGTCAATAAGTGTTGACATAGAGTTGATGGAAGTATTTTTTTAAAGGTACTTAATAAAATATTTAATTCTATATGCTAAATGTGATTATGATGGTTTAGAGGAGAAAAGAATTGGGGGATTACAGAGGAATTTTTCTGTATGCATTGTGACTGGATGCACACTTTTGTTCTAAATGATATATACATTTAAATAATCTCTACTATATGCTCAGCACTGTGTTAGGTGCTTAGAATACTTAGGTATACAAAATTCAGTCTCTGTGCTCACAAGACATACAGATAAAAACATCTAAACATATGGAGAATTTAAAAAAATTTATGGAAAAATTCCTTAAATCTTTTCATTCCATTTTTCCTTGAACCTTTGAACTCTCTTCATATATATGTGCTATGATGGGAGAAACTGCTGGAAAGTATGGATCTCTGAAGTGGAACAATTTAAATGTTCCTGAAGCCATTGTTTATGCTATCCTTCTCATTCTTGTGCAAAGTTATTTTATTCTAGCTTATTAAACTTGCACTGAATGGAACCCAACTATAAATTCATTGCCACTCAGCCAAGTATTGTAGTAAATTCATTTTATGTTAATACTTTTTTATTATAGATGTACCTATGAAGAGCATTCTTGGAATCAGTTGAGAATTTATATATGTTCTGTAATGATTGTGCATATATAATACTTACATTTTTTTTGAAGAGTAAATAATAAATGCAGTGGCATAGTGGGTTATGCTTTGAGTTGCTAAGCACAAGGTCAGGAGTTTGAAACCACCAGCCACTCTGGGAGGAAGATGAGGCTTCTACTGCCATAAAGAGTCAGAGTCTCAGAAACCCACAGAGAAAATTCCACCCTGCCCTGTAGGTTCACCGTGAGTCAGAACCGACTCCCTAGCCGTGAAGTTGGTGGTTTGATTTAGCATAGTGCCTACGGAGTCTTGGTAGAGCTGTCAGGTAAACCTTGGATGCTAGCCACAGAATTGGTGGTTCATATCCACCAGACTCCTCTGAGCATTTACAAAGCCTTAGAAACCCTATAAAAGGTTGCTATAAATTGGAAACCTCTCAGTGGTAGAGGATTTTGTTTTGTTTCTACTTTGATCTGTTAGTTTAGATAGGTTGTGTACTTCTAAAAAATCTTCATTTTCTTCTAAATTTTAAAATTTGTTGGAGTATAATTTTCATAGTAGTTTTCTATTATCCTTTTTTATTTAAGTTGGTCCTGTTGTGACATCACCCATTTCATTTGTT